AGTACAGATGTGTATTCGCTATGAACATGTCCGAGCTGGGTCGGACAGACGTGTTGAAACACGAGATTAGGACTAGCTGTGATGGTCCAGTTTATGAGCCCGCAAGGAGATTGCCTTGGAGCTCGCGAGAAACATGTCGGAAGTTGGTTGACGACATGCTTGAACAGGGTGTGATCGAAGAATCGGTCAGTCCATGGTCTTCACCAGTTGTGTTGGTGCGGAAGAAGGACGGATCGACGAGGTTCTGTGTTGATTATCGGAGAGTCAATGCGATAACCGTGAAAGATCCATACCCACTCCCGCGTATTGATGATACGTTGGACGCGTTGGGCGGTGCGATGTACTTCTCGACGCTTGATCTGTGCTCTGGGTATCATCAGATGCCAATGGACGAGGCAGACAAGGCCAAGACGGCATTTTCCACGCCTGATGGGCACTATGAGTTCCACGTGATGCCATTTGGTGTGTGCAATGGCCCGAGCTCATTTCAACGGCTGATGAGTGCCGTTTTGCGAGGTTTGCAGTGGCAGATGTGCCTGGTATACCTCGATGATATTATCGTGTTCTCAAAGACGTTTGACGAACACTTGGAACGACTGGAAGCAGTGTTCCAAAGACTACTGGAGGCTGGTCTTCGGTTGAAACCCTCGAAATGTCATCTGTTGAGGACAGAAGTCAATTTCTTGGGTCATGTTGTCACGAAGGATGGTGTGCGCACCGATCCGGACAAGATTGAGACCGTGTCAGAGTGGCGGTGCCCAAAGAACGTAGCAGAGGTGCGTTCTTTTATGGGTTTCTGTGGCTACTATCGACGGTTTGTGAAGGATTTTGCATCCATTTCTCGGCCGCTGGTGAAGCTGACGAGGCAAAACCAGAGGTTTTCATGGGATGGCGAGTGTGAGATCGCATTCCAATTGCTGAAACAGAAGATGTCTTCAGCACCCACGTTGGCGTATCCGAGGTTTGAGACCGATGCGCCCCCATTTGTAGTCGATGTGGACGCAAGTGGCCATGGTTTGGGAGCTGTGTTGTCCCAGACCGACGCAGATGGTCGGGAGCGACCTATTGCGTATGCAAGCAGAGGGTTGAACTCTGCAGAGGGGAATTATGGCTCGACGAAGAGTGAACTCCTCGGACTAGTGTGGGCATTTAGGCATTTCAGATGCTATTTGCTGGGTCGAAGGTTTGTCGTGCGCACAGACCATCAGGCACTAAAATACCTGAACCGTTTCAAAGAACCAAGTGCGATCGTGGCGCGGTGGCTTGAGTTTCTGAGTGATTTCGATTACGAGGTGCGTTATCGGAAAGGTAAAGTCCATGCCAATGCTGATGGCTTGTCTCGACAAGTGCAGGATCAGAGGTGTGGCACCACAGTCCCTGATGAGGTGATTGCTGTGGTATCAGACGAAAGGAGCTCAGTGGAGAATGCTGAGTCGGTCCAGAGTGACCTTCCTACGCCCTTTGTGCGGCGACGAAACTGGACATCAGCTGATTGGGCTGATGCTCAGCAACGTGATCATGAATTGACACGGCTGAGTGAGTGGCTCAGCTCCGGGTCATCTTCGCCTGACTTGACTGGTGTGAGTCCGGCTCTGAGGCATTATTTCCGAGGACGAAAATGTCTTGTGGTGCGAGAGGACGTGATATGTCGCGTTTTGCACAGTGAGAACGCAGGAGAGGGCACAAAGTTTCAAATTTTGGTGCCAGTTGCGTTGCGCGGTCAGGTGCTGAGTGAGTACCATGATCATCTAGGTCACTTAGGCGTGACTAGAACGTATCACCAGATTCAGTCCAAGCTCTTCTGGTACGGCATGAAGAGAGATGTGGAAGACTGGATTGGTAGTTGTGCGTCGTGCAGTCGACGATCGAGACCTGTGGGACGTGGAAGTGGCGCACCACTAGAGGTCACCTGGTCGGGTTATCCGTTCGAGAGAGTTGGAATGGATTTAATTCCCGGATTGCCAGAGACAGATGCTGGCAACAAGCACATTTTGGTAATTGTTGACTATTTTACCAAATGGGTTGAAGCGTATCCGCTGAAAAGGATGGATGCATCCACGATAGCTTCAAAGTTTGTGAGTGAGTTTGTTGCAAGGTTTGGAGCACCGGAGAGTGTGCACACTGACCAGGGCAAAAACTTTGACTCCAGATTGTTCAGAGATGTCTGTTCAATGCTTGGTATTAAAAAGACCAGGACGACGGCTTATCACTCTGCTGGAAATGGGTTGGTAGAGCGTTTTAATCAGACATTGGAGAAGATGATTTCTCACTATGTCGATGTGCATCAGCGAGATTGGGATGTGCATTTGCCGGCGGTTTTGATGGCTTACAGAGCCACGCCTCAGGCGAGTACGGGTTACACGCCTGCGTATCTACTGTTCGGTAGACAGATGTGTCTGCCACAGGATGTCGCTTATGGCTTACCACCTGATGAGATGGTCAGCTTATGCGAGCCTAGCTACGTCAGAGATTTGAGACAAAGGCTAGCGCATGTGCATGCAGTTGTGCGGAAGAAGTTGGAAACCGTGCACAAGCATCAATCTCACTTGCATGATTCGGGAGCAGTACCCGTTTCATTCGCAGAAGGAGATCTGGTATGGTTGTTGGTACCAGCAGTTCCGATGGGGACTACTCCGAAGTTCTCCAAGCTCTGGCAAGGGCCGTTTGAAATAGTAACGAAGTTGTCAGACGTAGTGTATCGGGTGAGAGATACACGAGCGGCCAGTGTCAAGGTGCAGATTGTGCACGTGAACAGGCTAAAACGATGTAGAGTAAGGCCTAACCATCTTCACGCTGTGAGTGAGGTGGAGGAACCTGAAGATGCTGAGTCTGTCGAAACGCCCCCGGCTGATGTGTATGTGCCGGACCCTACAGACTTGTTGTATTGGGATTCTGATGAGGATGCCCAGCATGAGACGTATGGCGGCGTGGACGGTGTTGGCGGCCAACCAGTTGTGCAGATCCCGCTACCAGTCAACCAGCCACCGCCACAACCAGCCCAGATTCCGGTTCAGACTCGAGCTGGGAGGACCGTCCGGCCACCGCAGTATTTTGGAATGCAAACCCAGTTGAGAAGACGACGGTAAGCCAAATGTTGTCGCCACGAGGACGTGGCAGTCTTTTCGAAGGCGCGGGGAGATGTCATAGCCCGAGAGTGAGGGCTTGTAACTATTACTAACTTCTGATAGCTACTGTGCGTAGAACGTGGACACACTATGTCTTCCGTAGTTGGAACAGTTATGTACTCTTGATGATAGGTTTGGCTGTCAATAGATGAAGCGCACGACTGTGCACTTGCGGTAGAAAGTGCAATACAATGTAATTATGAATTTGCAATATAGTAGTAGTACGCGAGGTGTGGATGAGTGTGAGTGCACCTACTTGACCACTTGGTTGGCAATGCTTTTAATCAGGTTATTGCAGTCCAGACGCCGGGTCTAGTCTCGCCCCTTTCTAATACTCTTTCACACTTTGCATATTTATGTTATCATGATGACCGCCGCTTCTAGATCACGCAGACCTGTGCGTGTATGTGTATGCGTGTGCGTGTCCGATCGCCGTTCCGCGCAGAGGACAAAGTAGCAGTTTAGCTGCATGTTAAGCAAGTACTATCGCTACTGCCGCTGCTTGCTGTTTTCTACAATGTGTTATATCATAGCATGCTGTTGCTTTTAGCGTCAGGTTCTTTCGGTGCTCTTCTTCCAAACAGGAACATATTCTCTGCTCTGACGAGATCAGTTGGTTATGTGTGTGTTGGGTTAGGACTGGGTGAAGTTGCGTTATGCCAGCCGTGACTATACTTGTCACAAAACGTTCCGAGGGTTAGAGACGACACAGCCATGGGCGAGACTAACCGGAACACGCTCCCCGAGCGAGTTATCACACATGCAAAGCAGCGGTGCAGCATCGCAGGCATGAATCGTGCGACGAGCATAATAATTATGGTTATAGGATAGTGGGGAGTATACAAGGTGAGGTGTGAAGAAAAAAAACTAAAGTGAGAGAGAAGACGAAAGAAATTAGAAGTTTTGTAGTAGCTGACACCGTCGGAACACTCTCACATCTTTTCTTCTAATTTCTTTCGTCTTCTCTCCCACTTTAGTTTTTTTTCTTCACACCTCACCTTGTATAATAATTATGCTTATTTTTTTTAGCATATTTGGTCGAGGCCTAGTCGTTAGTTAGTTGTATGAATATTAATCGATAGTAATGTACTTCAGTACACTGTATGTACACGTACATGTACATCACGTGATGATTTTAACATCTCTGGTGACGGCATTGACATTCTAAATCGTGCAATGACCATGATGACGCATATGCCGCCGAATTCGGATTGTATGACACGTACAGAGCTAGAGTTGTTGCTGACATGTCGAGTCGACACTCAACAGTGGAATGGATACCACCATGCGCAGCCTGACAAAAGAATGACATCACGATAATTATGCTGCAGCCTAGCCTAGCCGCGCCCATGCTACGACTCCGACTCACTACATCATGTAGACATAGTATTAGTAGTACAATGTAGTACGTAGATCTACGCGACTTGTAAGTAACGTAATAACTCGTGCGTGTATACAGTACAGATCTACTGTCTGAGTCCGGCCTGGAATCTGCACACCACTGCTCTTTTCATCAAGTGCTTTTGCTTCTGCATTACTCACGATCGACGAAAGAGTTCAATGAGGTAATCATCGCGTGCATGCCGTACAGCAGTGCAGCGCAGAGTCGCCGCAGACTGCACTCTGCACTGCAGAGATTCGGATCAGAGCGGCCGCGCTGAGGCGCGCTCAGCCAAGCAAGTCACATCCTGGACCTGGTATACCATGTATACTTCGCTGAATGAGTACGGTCGGTATGCAGGTATGTGGACTGACACAGACACCATGGACACTGCACAGACTAGACTAAGGACATAGTAAGGTGTGAGCTGAGCTTCATGAGTGGACTGCATGACTGTACTGACGTACTTCTTTACTGCTCGCACAGCATTCGCCTTCGCCACGTGTCGACTCGAACGATCCTGGCGCCACGGCAGCTAGGTAGAGTTGGGAATAAAAAGGAGAGCGGGCTTGCTCCTGGATCCAGTCCCACTGTTTTACCCTACGCCGGTGAAAGCTGCGTTGGACTTATGCAGTTGCAGAGTCTTTCCCACTCTGGCACAACATTGAACTGCCTTCTCCGAATCTTAGAGTTGGACTCAAGAGTTTTGCTGGTACACCCCTATCCGCCAAGAGATATCGTATCGCTGAGAGAATGGCTCAGCCTTCGGCAGACGCCTCAGCAGCGCAGATATCGAAGGAAATCGGACTAGCGTGCAAGTCAGACTTCAACGAGTATCAGCACGCTAGCAAGGAGAAAAGTTGGGTGGTGGTTAGTATCCAAGCGCCTCAGTGCCAGGAGGATGAAGAGGGAGAAGTCAGTGAGAAGGATCGGGCACCGCTGGAGCTCGTTGCCGTGATTGATAAAAGCGGCAGCATGAGTTCAAACAGTAAACTAGATATGGTCAAGGAAACTATGCTCTTCGTCATCCAACAATGTGAGTGCTGTTAGTTTACATGTAACAGTTCGAAACGTTGAATTGCATTTTTTTCTGAAATGAATTTGTGAAAAGCAGTGATTGAGTGTGAGCCAGTGTTGCTCACAAGCCAAAAGTTTCTGAGAAGTTGTGACAATGATCCCAAATATATGTCCCCGATGAGAAATTGCTGCAACTTGATTGACTGTCTACGACTCTAGGGCTAATTATTGTTACTTAGCTAACTCTGCCGGGAAGGTTATTCCACATACGCTACAAGATGTGAGTAACAAATATCCATCTAACGTTATGGGTTCTTTCCTGTATTATGTGTTCACAGTGAGTGCGAAAGACAAGCTGGGGGTCGTCCTGTATGATTCTGATGTGACATCAACTGGTACACTCAAGAAGATGGATGCGAGCGGCAAAGCGGAAATTACTGATCTGATCGAACGCTTGCGCACAGGGTCCTGCACCAATCTATCCGGTGGACTTTTGGAAGGATTGGCAATGATTGAAGACCTGCAGAAACAGAACGCCGGCGGCGATACAGGTGCCGGAAAGGAGAAGAAAACGGTGTCATCAATTCTTCTGATGACGGATGGCATGGCCAATGAGGGCCTAACCTCGCAGCAAGATATCATTGCCTGCTTAACGCAACGAGGCCGCAACGACTTCTATCCCGCTGGTGAGTATCGCGCCACCAGCGGTCGGCATCAAGCTCGACAGATGTTGGGCCGGAGACAGGCACAACCACAACAACGTCAGCAACAGGCACAACAAAGCTCAATGCTGGGCAATCTTGTGCAAGCTGTCAATCCATTCCGCTTTTTTGGCTCTTCCTCTGCTACACAGTCATCACCTCCAATGAGTCAAACTAACCAACTACAGCAGCAACAGATGCCGCCTCCGATGCAGCAGCAACAGATGCCGCCTCCGATGCAGCAGCAACAGATGCCGCCTCCGATGCAGCAGCAACAGATCCCGACTCAGATGCAGCAGCAACAGATGCCACCTCCAATGCAGCCGCAACAGATGGCGCCTGAACAACTACAACCACCACTGCCTCCACCAGCAGCACCAACTCCTCCATCAGCAGGTTCTTCTGAACTAAGTGACGTTGTGGCTGCGAGTATCTACACCTTTGGCTTTGGTGCTGATCACAATGCCACGTTGTTGCAAGCGTTGAGTGACGCTGGCAATGGGGTCTACTACTACATCGATACATCTGAGAAGATCCCAGAGTCCTTTGCCGACTGCTTGGGTGGCTTGCTGAGCACAGCCGCTCAGAATATCTCTCTGGAAATCACGGCTGAGAACGGCTGTAACATAAGCGAAGCCTATGCAGGTCGAAGCACCAAATCAAGAGACAGTGGCGTTGCCATTACGTTGCCTCTGGGAGATATCCAGTCAGAAGAATGCCGCGACTGTGTGTTCTGCTTGGATCTGCCCGAGATACCTGAAGAGTGTGGTGAATGGGTTATTCTCAAGGCTAAGCTGACCTGCTTCAATGTCATCACAAGTATGCTGGAGGTAAAGGAAGCCTTGCTGAAAGTACGCAGAGTCAAGGAACTTCCAGCTGATCGCTCACCCAACCCTGATGTTGACCAGCACCGTAACCGTATAACGTCAGCTCAAGTCATTGAGCATGCATCAGCACTGGCGAACCAAGGAGATCTTGGTGGAGCAAGACATATGCTGGTTCAGGTAAGAATCCCCCGCGCACGATGCATTGTAAACTGACATTTAAAAGTCCGCTGAGGAAACCTAAGAAGGTCGAAGAACTAGTGTTCATAACTGTAATGAATTACTGGGTGTTGTGTTCACCGGGTTCGAAATGTGGATAAGAAGAACTCCCTTTTGTTCACATTTGTTGCGAACAAATACTGTCGGTCCCTTGGTGTTCGTGCTAAAGAGGTTTGACTGTATGTAAGATAGTACTGTCCTGCAGCACAGTGGAGAAATCCGACGTGCCAATGGGTGTCCTTGTTTAGTCATTGATGGTATTCTACTGTGCCGGCAACTTGTATGCTGATTTCCAAATTTGTGCGTCTTGTCATGCTTTCGATTGTTGTTTTTTTCTCCTGTCGTGCAGCAACAACAAGTAATCCGTTCGAGTGCATCAAATGCTTGCCAAGTAACAACAGAGCTGGACCGGGACATGGATCGCGTTGCAGAGAACCTGACCTCCGCATCCAGATGGGAGCATGGCGGCAAGCATTTGAGCTCCAATATCGGACAGAAGCACATGGCGCAGCGCAGCAACGATACCACTGAGTCAGGCTATACCAACCGCATGAAGGCCAAGAAGAAGGCTGACTTCTCCCTCTTCTCCAAGCGATGATCAGATGGCAAGCGGTTATGAGAATAACTGATTGTCTCTCGCGGTGACATACCACCACCGTCGTTACCATCTAGAAAAACACCGCACAGGTACATAGGTTCAGTGTGCGCTCTTACCTGCAGCAAGACCTCATGTATACAATGTATGTTCTCCGACAGGATGCCGTGTATTATCTGATTAAACTGCACGCGCAGGTCGCTAGATTTGTCTATACTACACTATAGCTTGTTGAATATCTGTATATCTGAATGACATTTGGTAGGACGGACACACATCTTCTGTCTAGCATGTAAACATACTGTGCAATTGACTTGTTCCATGTTAGGCGAAATTCGCTGTGGCATCCTTTTTTTATTCCTTATCCTCACAATGACCATAGCCAACAACAGAGATTGTCTGGTCATCCAGCAGTATTTCAATCACATGTACAATCTATATTTGCTCTCCGATCTGAAAAACTATATCTTCCCAAAATTTAAGTGGGTGTTGCTTTGCATTTTTGAGTTGTAGTCAGATTGGTACATTTCCCATGGCCTTACAAGTTTCTTCATCAGACTCATCACCCAGTAACATTCGGTATTCTTTTTTTGCAATGGGACGTCGCTCATACATTTTCATTACCCATCTTCGATGCGCTTTCCATCTCCTCGTTGGAGCTTCAAGTTCCTAACCAGAGCCTCCCGAGTTTCAAGGTTGTCGCTTTGCTCCTGACTTTTTAGCTTCATGAAAACATTGAGAGTGCAGGGCCGGAGGCAGCTTCCGCGGAGTGGTGCGGCCGAAGGGGCATCTTGAAGGGGGGTCCTCCCGCAGAAAAATCTTGGAATTTAGACGGCGAATCCTGCACTCTGGGCGACTCCCTGTACAAAATCATACATCGAAATCATACATGTACATCGAAACTTTTTCTTTCCGGTTTTGGACGTTCCATATGGCCATGTGGACCGACTTTTTGGGAAGTTTTTTTTTTTTTGTGGTATGGCCATGGCCGTACCAGTGGCGCCGGCCCTGCAGTGTTCGTGAATCACGTGCAACATCAAGTTCTGGTCACTTTTTTCTTTCCGGTTTTGGACGTTCCATATGGCCATGTGGACCGACTTTTTGGGAAGTTTTTTTTTTTTTTTTGGTATGGCCATGGCCGTACCAGTGGCGCCGGCCCTGCAGTGTTCGTGAATCACGTGCAACATCAAGTTCTGGTCACTGGGGTATCAGCACTGGCATGGAGTGCATGATAATAATTATTATCCTGAAGCCTGCTGTACATTTCTTTTCCACGCTCTCGACCTTCATAATTATAATTATTTGGTATACAATGTATGTATAGGGCTTGAAAGTGATGACGTCCAAAACGGCCAGGGAGTAGTAATTTGAAATCAGATTTCTAATTTGGATCCACTAAGTTGTGACTTTGCTATTGCCTCAGTATGTGGGTGCATAGCAACCCACTCATGTCGTATACATGTGTGACTTTTACTTCGCCACCAGTTGTCACCCCGCCCCCAGTAGCCAAATCAGTCAGTTCCACTGGCTACATCACCTTGCTGTGAGTAAGACCGCTTGAAATGTGCTTGGATCCATACAAAAACTGGATCCAAGTACATCCAGGGAGTCGTATAGACCCGGGAGGCGACACGCGCATCACTTGTGCACAACCATGTTCGACTCAACGATTCAAAATATTACGACCTGCTCGGTGTGGGACAAGTCCGTACATAGGTCATAGCGCGCGGGAAATCCGTACATAGCGAGAAATCGTCGTCTTCGTCCTTTCGCTGAACAATTGTGGTCAGACTTTCGATCTCCATTGCCGAAATACAGCCATCTGTGGCCATCGCTGAGGAGTTCACTAATAAAGGGTCTTGTTCACTGGCTTACTCACTGGCTTTGCACTGCCACTCGAACTCTGAGGCACTTTGACCACCTAAGATGAGGTAATCATTTCTTTACAAATTGCCTCAATATTTTCTCACCTTTAGGGCAATAAAGTAATTTTTTCCTCGTGACTAACTTCGACCGACCAAGTTGCCCTGTCCCAGTGATCTACAATACTTATATTGCACATTTGTGAAATATTGGACCTATCCAGATAAACGAAATGACTTATATTCGAAATTACATTTTCCAAAGTTTTCCTTCACAAATAGTCCCAATTTGTTCTCACCTTTAGGGCAATGAAGTAATTTTTTTCCTCGTGACTAACTTCGACAGACCAAGTTGCCCTGTCCCAGTGATCTACAATACTTATATTGCACATTTGTGAAATATTGGACCTATCCAGATAAACGAAATGACTTTTATTCGAAATTACATTTTCCAAAGTTTTCCTTCACAAATAGTCCCAATTTCTTCTCACCTTTAGGGCAATGAAGTCAATTTTTCTTCAGGACTAACATCGGCTAACAAAGTGGCGCTGTCCCAGTGATCTACAATACTTATAATCATTGCACATGTGAAATATTGGGAGGCAGAGTGAGGAAATGGCCTACATTGAAACTTGAACTGTTCTGCCAAGTTTTATGCAGTGAACGCAGGGCTGAGAGCCCGCAAGAGCCATCCCGGAAGATCTTGTGCGCCACCAACCGAACCTTCGGTGAATGTTCACAAGGTTAGAAGCTCGCACAGATAACACACATTGGATGCTAATAGTAATACAATGCACTCAGGAATGTGTGCAAATACGACAGAATTAATTCCAAATAAAGTCAACAATAGCTGCCTCAACACAGTGCTATCAACCTTCCGTATTTTCTATATTTGTTTGAAAATCACTACTTCGTCCGCGCTATGGATTTTGAGAAAAATGTACAGAAAATTGAACGGGATTGATCAATATGTATAAGCATTGCAAGTGCTAGCTGAGCGATGAAAAGAAGAGAACCGAGTGGAAAGAAAACGCTGCAGTGGAGAGTCCTTAGAAAAGACTTTAAAAAAATTATCATAATATCGCTGCACGAGATCATCCTTATAAGTTATAACGTCAGCTGATCGTACTGTGGTTGATTCATACGGCGGTAAATACACACCTGCCTACACACGCTCTCTAAACTGAAAAGTTATTCTGGCACAGAGCTCTCCTTCCCGCCACCACCACCATCATCAGTTTGCGTCTGGCGCCTAGTCGATGCAGGGTGAGTGGTGTCCGACATAGCAGGCTGGTACATCAGGTAGCGTATGGCGCATAGCAGATGACACAGCAACAACATAGCTTGATTGCGACGTACCTTTCGTCCCGGCTGGACTCATCAGGCAATCTTCTTCTTAGATGTCTTCACAAGGAGCTTGACTCGGGAGAATGAAGTTGAAGACTCCACTGCAACTGCACTTATGGTTAGTCCATATGGTGGTAAATACACACCTGGCAATATGGGGTAAATACACGCCTGCCCAGACACGCTCTCTAAACTGCAAAGTTATTCTGGCACAGAGCTCTCCTTCTCACCACCACCACCACCATCAGTTCGCGCCTGGCGCCTAGTCGATGCATGGTTAGCGGTATCCGACATAGCAGGCTGGCACATCAGCTAACGCATGGCACATAGAAGATGGCAACGACATAGCTTGATTGCGACGTACATTTCGTTCTCTTGGTTGTGCTGTAGCCTGAAAAAGGAAATAAGACAATGCATCCACATGACACAGACAAGTAATTACTGTTACAAATAATGCAATTGCATACTGCTTGATAACTGAGAAAGAAAGTCAGTGGTCACACAAGTTTTTGGTCGTCCCTGAAACGAAGATCGTTCCAGGGGGGGGGGGGGGGGGGGGGGGGGGGGGGGGGAGCTAAAATCTCAGTAGACTGACGCTATGCATACACATGTACATGCATGCGATTTTCGTCGTCCATTCATTTCGGAGGGTGGAGAGGAGGTCCGAGTACGAAATGAATGATGTTTTTTTCAGGAATGACTAATCACTTTTGCGATGACCCCTTATTGCATCAATTTATTGTCTGAACTGCGCAATTGAGTCCCACTTTTATTATGTTGGGTCCAGATTTCAAGACTCGTGAAGTTCGAGGCGAAAAGCAGGCCGATGAAAGGACGCCAGTAATTCAGTCTAGTCCGGTGTCATGGAGAAGGACCGATGAACCGGCAACACGAGAATTCAATACGCATGCTACTCTTCAGTTCATTGCTGGGGAAGACTACTCAAGGCCACGTCACTCCGGCAATTCAATGTACAAATCAGCAGCAACACTTGCAAACGTATTCCTACCAGCTGACCAGCAAGTTACCAGCCATCAGCTCTTCAAATGATTTCAACTTAACAAAGAAAGGAGATGGACAGATCGGAAAGTGTCGTGGCAAGCTCAGGACAACACACGTCCGGCCCTATGTAACAACAGTGGAAAGTGCGTGCCATGGTATATTTTCGAAGGCATATCAAGAACCAGCTAATGTGGACTGGGAGTCCATTTGCATCGTCCGATCAGCTGCTACAAGTGCCGTGAGCCAATGGCAAACACTTTTGACAGAGACTACTACCTCTACCGAATGCAACTTTGGCATGGCAGAGATCTACAAGCACGTTATCTTATCTATCAATAGAGTTGTATCCTTGTATGACTATGTGAAGTGTGAGGTCGTACTGTACTGCAGACACGTCTACGACCTGGTTGGAAATGTACGCAACAGTTCCCACCCTCTTGACCAGAGATCGCACACACCCTAGGGTTTTGATGGGTTTGTACGACTCCCAGCTCTTGACTTGTGTTGGGTGTACGAGACGCACGCACAGTTTTCTTAGGGTGAGTACTTTTTCATGTAGTACTGAATACGGCAAGCAGGACTCGCCCTTCCGCCCCTCCCCAAATGGATCTACTCGAATGGTTCCGGAGGTAGGGGTGCTCTGGCGGGATTTTACGACATACACAAGCGCGCACACACGCACACAATATACACACGCACACACATACACACGAACGCATGCTATGTCGCACGTCTTGGGCATGGCTTCGTGAATACAAATAATAATTTAATGTTATAATTTATAGGATCCAAATGTTAGAGCAGCTTTACAAAACCTACCGTTCAATACCGGATCATCTTGTGACAGCTTCCTTGCAACACCCATGACTTGACCCCACTTCGTCTTGACGTCGGGAAATCGTTCACACCGGAGTTGGGACACGACTCATTGAAATCCATGCCTATCTGCAGCTGGGAGCAGGACAGAGCTGATGGACGTCAGCAGCGGCTGTAGAACAACCATAAACGAGTCTTCTTTCTCCGCAGTCAGGCGGGACAGCAGCTTTGCAACGCAAGCTTCTTGCCTTCTGTGGGTCTTTAGCGGCTGGGATTCGGAACGCTCTGTAGAAACCATTGAACAAGTACTGCACTCTATCAACCCACAAGTATTTCTTCCAATTCATGATTCGCAACTTTTTATGCAGTACGCGCACCAGATCAGAAGCCGCTGAGTAGCAAGGTTGAAAGTTTCAAGACAAATTGAAAAATATAATAACATAGAAAATTAGAATTCAAACCATACCTGTGGCCCAAGCCAATACAGACTGAGCGTTCACGCGAAGAGAACGTAGATCTACGTCAGCTGAGGTTTCCTTAGGATCAGGAGGTGATTCTTGACCCGGATCTGGATCGCGATCAGCAGCACTCTCTGCCTCAATCACGATCATCAAATGCAACAAATTACTTGGAAAAGTAGTTCATTCTTCTTCTTCTTTTCGAGCTACGATTTCCCACGATCGATTC